GGAAAAAAGGCCCTGCCCTCCCTTACCAGGATCATATTACCTCAGCATCAAAAAACCGAATGCAAAATTGAAGCTTTCAAAACATAGCATGGGATTAGAAGAACATTTATATTTTAAGAATTCTGTTTATCTTGTTTACTGCTCAGTCTGCACCCCCAGAACACTGCAAGGCCCATAGTAGGTGGTCAGTCATATTGAATAAATAAATGAATGTTGTGGCATATTGGGATTCAGTGAACGGATTTGGGATTCAAGCTCTAAATACTCTGTGCTCAGCAGCCTGTTAGGGGACTGCGGGCTTCTTTGATAACCCCAGTTGGCCATTGTAGCCTTCCTCCTGGGCAGGGTCTTGCTTGCCAGAGAAATAACTTGTCTTGGAAAATGAAGGAGTTAGGTTGTGTGCACACTGTTCCAACTTTGCCATTTGGGAAACTGTAAGACAAGGATCTAAAACAGAGATTCTGTGTGATAAACTTCTGAAGAAAAGAAACTATTAGAAGATACAATGCACTTTTCACCTCAAGGGGAAGGGGACTTGAAAAGCAAACTCTGTTCTTAACACTATTGAGGTACCAGCACTGCAACACTGAAATCATTAAAAAGATGGTCTCTGTTCAAAACAGAATTAGATTAGACATCAACACACAAGAAATGGGAAATCTGAAATATTTAGAAATTTGGAATACTTTGGAAAATTAAACAATATATTTCAAAATAACTCATGTCAAATTACAAGAAGTTTGAAAATATTTCTAACTGAATGAAAACAAAAAGACAGCATATCAAAATTTATGGAATGTAGTGAACCTAATACTTGATAGTTAAAGACTGAAGGCTTCTCCTGTATGATTGGGAACAAGGTGAGGGTATCCATTCCTGTCACTTTTTTTCAGTATTGTAGTGGAGGTTCTAACCAGAGTGATATGGCAAGAAAAAGAAATTCAAAGCATGCAAATTAGAAAGGAAAAATTAAAACTTCTTAAATTACAGATACAGATTGTCCCTGACTTATGATTTTTTGACTTAACAATGATGCAAAAGCTTTCAGTGGAAACCAGACTTCAAATTTTTAATTTTGATCTTTTCCTGGGCCAGCAGTGTGTGGTATGATACTCTTTCGTGATGACGGGCAGTGTCAGCGAGCCACAGCTCTCAGTCAGCCACCTGGTTGTGCAGATAAACAACACAAACTCTAGTGTAGTATATAATGCATTTCCAACTTAAAAGAGTTTCAACTTACAATGGGTTTATCCGGACAGAGCCCCATTGTAAGTTGAGGTATATCTGTAATATGATAAGGAATCTATAAATAAAATCTATGGAATAAATGAATTTTGCAATATTGCAAGATATAGCTCATTATACAGTTATTAGTTGTATTTCTATATACAAGCAATGAACAACCCAAAGATTAAATTAAGAAATCAATTTCATTCACAGTAATAAAATACTTAGCAATACACTTAACAACAACAACAAAAAAAGCAATACATCCAAACACTAAAAGCTATAGAGCTAAGAAAAAATTTTAAAAATCTCAGTAAATGGAAGAATGCTCTAAATGTTTTAAAACTAGATTATGAGATGACTGCATAACTCCATAATGTAATAAAAATCACTAAACTGTACACTTACAATTGGTGGGTTTTGCAGCATATAAATCATACCTCAATAAAGCTTTTTTTTTTTTAATGACATTTTAAATGAATATTCTGGGTTCAGGCGCAAGGATGCATTTTTGTCAGCTACATTTTATGCTTGCACTGTTGAAATAAAAACTATTGAAGTAAATATGAGGGTTTATTAAAACAAAGATCTTTTTAGATTATTCTAGTCTCTAACTCTAAACTGCTAAATATTAATCATTAGAGATTTCAACTTCTAAACCTTCACAGATGCAATTATTATCTGTGTTCACAGTTAAAAAAACTTAGAATGTATATTTCATAAATATTATTTATTGAAAACATTCTATGTTGTGTTGATTACCATTAGATGGAGAAAATAGGGTGTTGTGGATAAAAATGAAGTCAAAAGCTGTGGATCAGGGTACAATTATTTCAATAATGGACATGGCAATAGAGCAGTTGAAATACCGAAGAGTTTTCTCTGTTAGATGGAAGTTGGAAATTAGCAGATTTTGCATAGCATGCGACCCTTTAATATTGTTTGCTGCTTTTCTCATTGTGAGAAATTCATGTATCACATAATCCTGTTATTAAGTATCTTTTTCTTTGGTGGGGAAGTTCCCTGTGTATCTGTCATGTTAATTTCATGATTTATGAGAAATATGAATTTTTTTCAATGTTGTTTCCTTTGGGGAATTAACTTTGACATTAGTCTGTATAATACTAATCTTATTTTGTTCTTAGAAGTGAGAAATAATAAAGCAACTTATGTTTGTTACCTATTAACTGTCTGACCCTGTGCCTTTTAAGTCCATGCATAGAATTTCAGGAGAAATTTTAATGTGGTCTTCATTTTGTGTGCCTGTCATCTATGGAAGGACTTTACTGCTCCACAGTGCTCTGTGCACACTGACAACAATACAGAGTGGAAAAAGGCAGCAGGCCTCTGAGTAAATGCTCAGGACCCAATCCAGGTTCTAACTTCTGGACACTGATCTGGCCCCGGGCAGTCCTGCTCCCTGCCACTGCAGCAGCTGATTCTAAGATCTATAACCCTACCCCCATCCTGGCCTTGGATAGGAATCCAAGCAACTGATAAGGATATTTTGCGTGGAGTATTTCCTGGTAGCAAGTGATCAGGTGGACAGACCTTTTATAATATCAACTTTTTCAGGGGAAAAGGGATCCTGGAGATCTTAGCATTAAGAGCAGGAAGGGTTAGACACCATTTCATTAAAAACCAGTCATTTTACAGAAGATAAAAATGAAACTCAGGAAATTGAATGGACCTATGCCAAGGGTAGCAGAAACTATCAGTTTCCCACCCTGTATTGCTCTCCCTTTCCTTATAACAAACCCTTGATATTGTTTAGAGTAGCAATCAATGTTCCCGGTGTAAAATAATCACTTCCTGGCTTTCCTTGCAGCTAGGGGTGGGCATGCGACCCATTTCTCACAAAGGAGATGTAAGTGGAGGTCACTGGATGGGGTTTGGGGAAAGTTTTTAGGGGAAACATTTGGCTTGTAAGCCCCTTTTTCTCTACTTTCCTCCTTCCTCCTTGTAAAGCAGACATAAGGTTATTTGTTCAGCTCTAACACTGATTGCTATCATGTGCCAGAAGCCATTCTGGGCATGAAAAACTTTCACTTTTAGAGCAATCTGTCAAGTATTGCTAATATTAGGGAGGAATCCATTCCTGGCTACAGACATCTGAATTCTGCTATTTTTCCTTATGAAAGCAAAGACCTTGAGTAGGACAAACAGCTTCAAAGCAAAATGCATTCTCATTGTATCTTACCTCCTACTTAGCCCCCACAGATGAACACTCAGCACATTCAGTTTTGCTGCTTGCTCTAATAGGCTATCAGGACCAAGGCAGAAGGAATGCAGCACATTAAGAGGAGGAGCCAAGTACTGGTAGAAGTACGGTCAAGGAGAGATCACTGGACACTTAAGAAGAGATGTACAGGAAATAAAATTATATACTTTCGGACTTCTGACCTAGAGAGGAGAAATTTCAAAACCACCAAAAGAAGAGGTAAACAAGAAAAACGCCGGTCTCATCTAGCAAGCAAACTCCTTTGCTCCAAATTAGGTCATTTCCACGCCGCACCCTGCCACTGATGCTGAGCCCAGGGCAACTCTGCCAACCTGCCTAAGGAAAGTGGTTCACTATTGTAGTAAATTTTGTATTTGTGTCTAATCTAATCATCAACAGTAGATTTTCTTTTTTTTTAGTAGAAAAACCTCAAGTCCTTTTCTCTTTCCACCTTTTCAAGAAAGGTAAGACTGCCTACAGAGGAGTAATAGACTAGAACTTTGTTCAGCCAAGTTTTCTTTTCAAAAGAAGCAAAGATTGTCAGGTATGAATGAAGCAGGAAGACTGAGAGGCCATTTCAGCTGCAGCCTCCTAGGGGAGCTGCTATTTTAAAAAGAAGTGTAAAATGTGAGGAACATGCACTGAATGTTTAACTCAATCAATGAAATGAGTAACTGGAAAGTGAGTTAGTCGTGAGGGTGAGTGAGAGTGTTTGTCCAGGAACCTTGCTGGCAGGAATGTATTCTAATTTTTTTTTAATTAGGGGAAGGTTGAGTATCAAGAGGATATAGAGATAAAATCGACCTTACACACTTAGAGTGTTTAAAATACAATCCTTGCGTTTGTTCTCATCTCAGAAGCGCTGGGCTTGGTCTTTGTTACCTATTGGATTTCAGGAAGGCTGACTTGAGATGCAGCGTTGCCATTTCCTGGGCCCTCAGTTATTTTTTTTTTTTTTTCTTTTTTCCGGCGCTGGCAGCCAGATCCTTTGTTGTGCCTCCTCTGCATTCATTCTCCTGTCCTCGCACCTCCAGACAGTGTGATGGGGGTTTTTCCTGGGCCTCCCACTGGGAGCTCCGGACGTCCACCTTCCCGGGCATCGGATAAAGCACCGCTTTAACCATTCAGTGGGTGTCGGGGCTGGGTCCGCGCCTGGCCGGAGCAGCCCTGCTTTTGTGTTGGTGTTTGTCTCGGCAGCGGTGGAACCCCGGCGGGAGGCGCCGGCCGCGACCCCCGAGGAGGCGGGGCCTCGGGGCTCCGCCTGGTGAGGATTTCACCGCTGCCACCGCCGCCCTGGTTTGTTCCGTTACATCGCCGGCTGGGACCGCTTCACCCAGAGCGAAGCACACCAGCACGGGATACCCAAGAGTCCTCTATGGCCTTCCTCCTACCAAATCCCGCTTTTTGCTTGTTTCCCCGCTTTCTCATTTTCTCCTCGTTAACAACACACGGGCGCAGCTCAAGGCAAAACTCAAACTAAAAAGCAGAGAAGAACAAAAACAAATTGGACGCACCTGCCTTGGTCCTCCAGAGTTTGTGAGGGGCCGTAACCATGTCTGAGTCGGCGGAGATAAGTGAATTTGGCTACATCATGGAATTGCTAGCCAGAGGAAAGGTAAGTGTTGGGGCGCGCGGTTTGGCGGCCTGGGCCCCCACTTCGGGTACTACCTGGCCAGTAGCTGTGGGTGCCCTGCTCCATTTCAGGGCGGGGGCTGGGATCCCCGGTTCTCGCTCTCAGCTCGGGCGTCCCAGCAGCTGCAGAATGCAAAGTAGCCGCCTTTTCTTTATTACGCGGCACCTCTGAAATGAGCCAACTGGAGCTTTCCCGAGCGTTTGGGGCCAGCTGGGCGACAGGAGATGCTCGCGGGACAAGGGGCGAGCGCTCTGCGTGCGTAGATGGGTAGGAGGGCCGGGTGTTGGCCAAGGGGGCGCTCCTGGAAGCACCTAGGGCTGCCTGGGCGTGGGAGTGGGTAACCTCGCCTGTCCAGACACCAAATGGTGGGGGGAGGGTCCCAGCAGCTGGTTACCACGCAGGGAGGGCGGGATCGGTGTGAGCGTGAAGTCCGACTGTGTGGCTGATAAACAGGGTAGAGCCTTTGATCGCCCCGCCTAGGCATTTTCAGCCTTCCTTCTAGTAGGTCCTTACCCGCTGCCCCAGGCTGGAAACCTTTCAAGCTGACTTCTTTTGGTGGGGAGGGGTGAGATGATAAAGAGCCGGATTTCAGTCCCGCACCTGTCCTGGAGCCCTTTCCAAATCCAGGCTGGCTCTGTTGGTGGCGCCTCCTGACCACACCCTCGGCCCGGCCGGGTGGCGCCGCGCCTGGGCAGAAAGCCTTGCAGGAAGACTTGTCCCCGCGCAGCGTGCGAAAAACTGCCCAGAGAGGCGCCTAAGTGGTTTGTAGAAGGGAGGCGACGGGGAAAATCAAAGGCCACCCGGTGCGTGGTCCTCGGGGATTTGTAAGCACGGAGAAAGTGAGAAGTGGGATCTGCGTTTGCCCTCTGCACCTGGAGTTTGAGAAGAGGCAATGGCACAGAGGGAAAAAAAAAAAAAGACTCCCTGCCTAAGCTCATCAGAAAGAAGAAGGATGATTCTGAAGACCTGGTGTGAGCACCTGAAACTTGAGTCTCATACCTCACTCATCCCAACTCCGCAGATACAAAGTCTGGAGTGGTTTTAGCATCAGGCCAGGTAGTCTTGCGGCTGGGGAGCCAGTTTAATATACTTACAGGCCTAAGTGTCCTGGGCGAACCGTGTGCCTCCCGGGACTCTCCTGTTTTGCCAACACGGAATTTACTCATCTGAAATAGAATACTTACTAACATTTTGAAGGTGGGGCGGCCCCTAGCAATTACAGCCTTACAGCTCTGGTCCAGAAGTGCAAGTAGAAGACCCTTGTTCCACTTTTCTTCCTACCCTGGGCTCCATCCTGCACCTCGAGGGGCATCCCACTCATGCCTGGAGACACCCTGGCCAGCACTTCCAAGCACTTTGTCGCCACCAAGAGTCTCCCAATGGCCACCCGCAGGCCTAGGGTGCATACCACAGCCTGCTCCATCCTCTGCACGACCTACCCAGGAGAGAGAAGTCCAGGAGGAAGTGCTGGTTCTGAGTGTGGAGGCGCCTAGTCAGATGGCCCGGATTCGACCCTCAAAAGCGAACAGCAGAACCCTGGTGCACAGGAGCCCTGGAGGGATGGGGGCTGGGAGGGGCGGAGGAAAGAAGTTTGCTATTTGTTGATTACAGAATAAATGGACCACTCTCAATTGAGAGGTGAATCTAGGCCTGTGGTTCTCAGACATTCTTCAGGGTAAGCCAGAATTGTATCAGTTGACTAATACTTACCTTCAGCAGGCAAAGCTTTACATTCTGAGACAGTAGTTCAGGATTGGGATCCAGGGATCTGCGTGTTAACACCCCAGGTGATTATAAAGCACACAGGTAAATTTCCCGTAATGGGGGAGTAGGACAGAACCATTACTGAACTCTAAATTTCTTATGATTAAGTTGAGTAAACAAAAATAAACCTCAGAATTAGCAATGTGTTTATCACAGTATGCTCACTATAATGAAAAAGCAAAAGCAACATAACTCTGGTTTCATCTACTGAACTTCTCTGCCTCACTCTCTATTTAGGATTCAGCAAGGGGCCTGCAGCAAACACAGGGCATGCTCTGCAGACTTCCAAAGTTATAGAGGCTGGGTGTCCCTGTGAAATCTCATGAGTTTGGGAAGCACGCTGCTCTCACAGTAAGAACTTGGGGCAGTTCCTTCCTCTGACTTTTTTTACCCCCTTGGTAATAGTGGTGTGTGTGTGTGTGTGTGTGTGTGTGTGTGTGTGTGTGAGAGAGAGAGAGAGAGAGAGAGAGAGAGAGAGAGTGTGTCAGGAGTGGCCTCTAACCATTTTGACTCAGGCTTATTCCCTGCCCACTCTCGTCACCACCCCTAACCTCTAACTCCATTTAAAACCCTCACTTTGTGTATGATTACACAGTGAACACCGAATACCTACCTCTCTGAGTATTAGCCATGGAATAACAGACCTTTGAGATTTACTTGCTTTATTTTCCTTTGAGGAGATAGGTTGCACTTGGTAGTTCAGGTTTGCATGTAATGAATAAGGTGAAACTGGTCTAATGAGGAGACCAAGTTGGCTGAGTTAATGGAGAGCAGAGGCCAGTCATCCTCTTGCCCCTTTTTCCTTCCTTTCCTTTCAAGTTGAGACCAGTGGGTTGACCATCATTATAAGTTCTTTCACTTTTCTCTGATGGCATTAACATTTTACAAAGTAAATATATGCTTGTTCAAAACATTTAATCTTTCCAGAAAATTTTACAGATTAAAAAAAGGTTGAACTTCCCTCCCACCTCCAGTTCACTGCCTCCCCCGATGGCAGCAGTTTGCTGTGTCTATTTTAAATTATATTAGCTTATTGTTTGTTCTTTGAATGTGGGAGGTGAGCCTTTCATCTTAGGGTAACCTAAAACCCACATGAGAAACTTGATGGGCTTATTTTACTCTATTGTGATGATTACTTTAATATTTAAAGTACACAGCCATCTCTACAAGTGTGGTCTTTCTGCTCAGCAAAAAATACACTCCATAGTTAAAACCTACTATAATTCTCAAGAGGTTTAAAAATCAATGTAAATGGAATTCCTAATATTTCATTATCAGAGAAATTTGTGATTCTGGAAGCTGCTTTTTTGTTTCTGTTTTAACATGTGTCTTTGGACTAAACGAGAGCTTTCCAAAGCTCTCACAAAGGTCAACATCTATTGGTCTCTAGAATAATTTGCCTTGCTAATTTTTTAATTATGTTCATACACCTCTTCCCTTCACATCATTGTACGCACTTCTGAAATCATACAATAAAGATGCAATGACAAAAATATTGAAGAATTTAAATTTAGTATACCTCTTTATAGAGTATTTAACATATTTATATTTATGTATAAATAGCTAGAAAGTACTTATTTCTCATAGTTCAATAATTACTGTTCAGATACTTTCAAAGAGTACAAGAGTTTGAGCAAAATAAAAGAGGCTTTGGGATGTTACATTTAATTTTGATAGAGAAACAGGCAATAATTCCATTACTTGGTGAATTATTACTTTTAACTTTGAACATTTTTTAGGCACAAAAAATTTAAAAACTTTGTAAGTCTAAAATTTACTTTAGAACCAGAAGATACTTATACCCTGAAATAATTAGGTTTATAAAATCCTCAAATCTAGACCAATATGAAGTCTTAAACATCTCCTGGGATCAAAAACAAAATACCATGAAATGATTTGTTTCAGAAAGTTCAATAGGTAGCTGCTGACAAAACAAATCTAAACTGGGTGATAATACTGAAGTTGTGTTCATTGCAAAGTATTCTTTAAAAAATATATTTTTTTATATCTTGAGATTGGGTAAAATGTGTGTGTTATGGGGGGTATGGAAGGCAAACAGAAGATTTAGATTGAAGCAGTATCATTAGAAAATAGCTGGTTTCATAAACATTATAATTTTCCTCTGATGTTTTTACTACATTGTTCGAAAGATAACTTGAAAAATGTATCTCTTAAGCTACTTTGTAAGAGAATGTTTAAGTGAGATTTTTGATGAAATTGAAAATTTCATGTTTTATACTTAGCTGTGGGTAGTGCGGTAGAGATGCTAGAGTGACATCCTGTCTTGAAACTGCCTTTATGGGATCCTATCTAATCATGCGATTTACTTAATCTGAGAGTGGGGGTGGGTAGGAGTTGTGGTTGTTACCTGTTCCCTCTGAAGGGAATTATCCCTATTTCACAGGGTTATTGCACGGTTTAGATGAATCTTTTATGCAAAGTTCCTGATACTGTTACTGGCACATAGTAGGCCCTCAATAAGTGAAAGCTATTACACCTGGCTACTATGGCTGCAGGGTGGGGACTTGAGACACCTTATTTCCAAACTGTGATCATTAACAAGTGGAGGCAGAGCTGACAGATAAAATACAGGGATTAGAGTTAAATTTGAATTTCAGATAAACAACAAATAATTTTTTTTTTAGTATAAATATGTCCCATTCAATATCTGGGACATACTTATACTAAAAAAAACTTCATTATGTATCTGAAAATGAAATTTAACAGGGTGTCTATCCTGTTTTTATTTGCTAAACCTAGCTACCTTTAGTGTAGGAATAGTAAGATATGGTCAGAAGAGACTTGGTAATAACCTCCAAATATTCCCAGCTCTGTTGACCTCAAGGTGACCAGGAGACTCCTTTGCCCACCAGTCAACCAGCCAGTACACTCCAGCCGTTGATGGAAAAATGTCTGCCAGAGCAGTGCTGTGTTCCTTGTATCTAATTTCAAATTGTTGGTCTGGCACTACCATTTAGCAGATAAATGCCTACTGGATTTTCTCTTAAAACAAACCAAAGTTTAAATGCACAGGAAGATAAGGCTTACAAATGTTAAATATTAGTGTCCAAAATGAGAGTATCGAATCATGTTAAGCTGAGTAATAAGACTCTAAGTGCTAAAAGAGTTTAGAGTATGGGACCTAATCAATGAAAGCTAGACTAATGAGGACGGAGGCTCTATATCTGCAGCTTGAAAGGCGAGTAGGATTTGGCTAG